TCACAATTAACCTCTCTCACCTTCTTACTGTGTAAAACTGGCAAGTTGCTCAGCCATTCTATGCCTTAGTCTTCTTATTTGTAAAATGAAGACACTAATGACAGATATCCTTATGTAAATTGCAAAAAGATGAAATGAGATAAAAGACGTGATGGTGGTTTAGAAACTGGAGAGCACTGTGGCAGATTGCAATTCTATATAAATTTCTAAGCTGTAGTTTTATATATATTTCCATAATAGTTCTGTAAGCAATCCTTGAGGGATGAATAGAAATTAGAAAATCTTTCCCTCTCTTTAGATGAAGTGAGCAACAGCAAAATTATTACTTTTCTGGGTGAGGTCAGAAACATAGAAACACCACTTTGTCTGCACATCCCTCTTTTTACTGCTAGAAAGTGCAATATTCAAAATGATTCTATAAATAGACACAGTAAAAAATAGAATTTGATATAATACTATTAAGGGATGTCAAAACCAGCTACACTGCTAAATCACATGCACAATGATTATAGAAATCAATTGCTTTTCTGTGCCCTTAAAATGTCATTTGAAAGGTCACTTTCCATTTTCTAAAATAATTTTCCACTCAATATTTTACAAACTTTATAAATGTCCCTTTTGTCCTCTTAAAAGATCTTGATACAAATTCTAATATGAGTTTGGGCCCCAACTCAGGAACTGAAACTTAAGGACAAGGCTCCTAGTTATCTTCAGAGCTGAAACTCTGTGGGGACCAAAATGCATTCCTCTTGCTTTCTTCAATACAGATGACATAGAAAAGAGCGGAAAGAATTATTACAGGCCATTACTCTTATTATTTATGCTTTGAAAAACAATTTTAAAATGATGCTTTAACTTAAATGTAAGACCTGAAGCTATAAAAATCCCAGGGGAAAAAAAAAAGCCTAGGAAAAACTCTTTTGAACATTGGGCTAGGCAAAAAATTATAATGACGAAGACCACAAAAGTAAATGCAGCAAAAATAAAAATAGACAAATGGGACTTAATTAGACTAAAAAGCTTCTGCACAGCAAAAGGAATAGCCAATAGAGTAAACAGACAACCTACAGAATGGGAGAAAATATTTGCAAACTGCACATCCAACAAAGGACTAAGCAATTCAAACTCAAAAAAACAAAAACAAAAACAAATATCCTCATTAAAAAGTAAGCAAAGGACATGACTAGACATTTCTCAAAAGAAAACGTACAAGAGGCCACTAGGTATATAAAAAATGCTCAACATCACTAATCATCACAAATGCAAATTAAAACTATAATGAGATATCATCTTACACCAGTTAGAATGGCTATTGTTAAAAAGTCAAAAGACAACAGATGTTAGCAATGATGTAGAGAAAAGGGAACTCTTAAACATCGTTGATGGAAATGTAAATTACTATAGCTTTTATGGGCAATGGTATGGAGATTTCTCAAAGAACTGAAAATAAAACTACCATTTGATCCAACAGTCTCACTACTCAATGGAAAATAAATCATTACATCAAAAAGACACCGGCACTCATATATGATTGCAGCACCATTCACAACAGCAAAGGCATGGAATCAACTTAAACATCCATCAGTGGATGACTGGATAAAGAAAATGTGGTGTAGATATATGATGGAATACTATGTAGCCATAAAAAAGAAAAAATCACATCCTTTGCAAAAACATGGATGGAACTAGAGACCATTATCCTAAGTGAAATAACTCAGAAAATCAAATACCAGATGTTCTCACTTATAAGTGTGAGTTAAACAATGGGTACACATGGACATTAAGATGGAAATAATAGACACTGGAGACTCAAAAAAGGGAGAGGGTGGGAAAGAGGTAAGGGTTGAAAAATTACCTATTGAGTACAATGCTCACTATTCAGGTGATGGGTACACTCAAAGCCCAGACCTCATCCCTATGCAATGTATTCAAGTGACAAAGCTGTACTTTTACCCCCTGAATACATAAAAATAAAAATTAAAAAAAATAAAACAAAGACAAAGATAAAAATTATGCTTTAGACTTCATAATGAAGATGAACACTGAAGGAGTGGGTGAGGGAGAATAAGGTAAGGACCTTGGCTGAAGTGAGCCCCACTATAATGAAAAAGAAAAGGGGGAGGAAGATGATGATTGTATTTTATTTATCATGTGATATTATTTATAGACATGGTTAAAAGAAACAACCTTGGAGAAAATATTTATGTTTAAATGCAAAGAGGGGACTATGGCCAAAAAGGAAAGTAGAGGAAAGATTTTTGGATTTAATCAGTAATGTCCTGGACACTACAACATATAGCTGTGGACCTGATGTCACTGAGAAATGCTTCATGCGAACAGTGTCCTGGGAAATATTCTTTACAGGGAAAAATGTAATACACTGGTAGACTGTATAAAAGAATGAGCTGGTATATAGACCCCTGTTCCTTTTAAAAATAATCATATCAAATATAATGCCATTTCATATCTATGGTCTCCATCGCCAAAGGATAGCCCTTCTAAATACCGTATTTGGGATTTAAGAACATCTGTTTATGCTGGAGATGATTCTCATTACACAATTTGTGAAACAGCTGTCAAATCATGAATGATAAAATTTGTTATTTTGTTAAATTAGAGTTTAGAGAGAAATCTAATTGCACATTAATTCATTACTGGAACATCTTCTGTAGGTATTAAAAGATAATATTTTACATTGTCCTTTTCCTACAGATTTCTACACATGCATATCTCATGGATTCAATACTTGGTCTGTTATTTCTAGAGGAAAGTTAATTTAAAAATCACACCATAGTTTAATTTGGATTGACTATCACCATGGTAACCCATAGCTGACTGTTTACAATTTTTGTCACTCAGAACATACATACAAAACCTTTATAATCAGTCTCTGAAAGGCAATACAAAATGTGTTTGATACATGTTGAGCTGAATTTAAAATTACCTCTTGATGCTCCTAAACCCATCATTTTTTTTTTTTTTTTTTTTTGAGACGGAGTTTCGCTCTTGCTACCCAGGCTGGAGTGCAATGGCGCGATCTCGGCTCACGGCAACCTCCGCCTCCTGGGTTCAGGCAATTCTCCTGCCTCAGACTCCTGAGTAGCTGGGATTACAGGCACGCGCCACCATGCCCAGCTAATTTTTTGTAGTTTTAGTAGAGACGGGGTTTCACCATGTTGACCAGGATGGTCTCGATCTCTTGACCTCGTGATCCACCCGCCTCAGCCTCCCAAAGTGCTGGGATTACAGGCGTGAGCCACCGCGCCCGGCCCTAAACCTATCATTTAAAAGAAACATCTGTTATCTTTTAAATGTATATTATCATCTCAGAGAAGCTGGTGATGACACGCTGACTTGACAAACAGATTTTTCTGATGCTCTCAAATACTTAAGACCACTGAGCAGACAAAATAGTGCATGGTGTTGCTTTTTACTGCATGACCAAGCACACTGCAGTGATTTTTTTTTTAGTATATTACAAGCGTTAATAACTGGTCAGAGCCCAAGGAATGAAGTAAGACTTTTCAATCGTTTTCATCATTAACGTGAAAAGGACTTTCTTCTTTTTATATTTATTTATTTGTTCCTTCATTCACTCACTAATCAACACACATTTATGGAATACTGAAGGTCTAATGCCAGGTGCTGCAGGATACGATGACGAAAAAAACCTTGACCTACCATACTCACTCTTTCCTTCCTCACAACCAATATGCTATAACATGCCCTCATGCCACAATCCCTTCAAAATCCTCTTAGTTAGTGCTCCTGACACCCAAGTTCCACCCTCTTAAACTTCTGTATACTCAGTTACAGAAAAATATTACTTAATCAAGGGTGTTACATCATCCATATTGATACCACCACTATCACCAATAATAATAAAAGTAACTAATAGGTATTATTTCTTGAGCCATTCACTTTATATACTTTACTATCTTATTTAATCCTCATTGTAATTAAGAAAGGTGAAAATAATATTGTTATTTCACTCTCAACCACAGTTTCTTACTAATTGAATGTACATGCCTGTGGGGCACCGCACAGCTTCTCAAATCCTGGGATCAGGTTGGACACTATCACTCTCTCTTTCCATTTCACATGGATTTCTGCAGGGTACTGTCTTTTATCAGAACAATTGCTGAAAACCTATCTTGCAAAGATATGATATCTTCAAAAGGAATATAGTGTAATGTAATGCTTACACTGTGCACTATCTTGAGCAAATAGTTCATGCAGTGTTTGACAGATATTATCACTGTTCCTCTTGAATATTTAAAACACCTTGTTGTATTCCTGTGAATTTGCTGCAGCACCCTAAGATGCTTTTGTGCATTTAGGAACTTTGGCCCTAAGTAGAAATAGTCCCCTTTCAACTTTGCCTTTTCTTACTGCTCATGTGGCACGTACAAGTTATGAGTTGTATCCAAATAAACATATGTACAAGTCTCATGTCTGCTCCAAGATCATCTAATCCACAAAGTTCAGGGATCATTTCTTGCACATGCTCTGGCACAGAAGCTAACACCACACCTTGCACGTAGAAAATGCTCAAATGTAGTTTGAGCATTTTGAATGAGGAGTTAAAAAATTATAGTATTTATATATGTATTTTACATTGTTCTGCTCTAAAAAAATATGCTTCTAATCAATCTATTGGATTTAGGTCCAAGATCATTCAAGAGAATTTTTTAAAAAACTATCTGTTAAGTTTTCTTTCAATGAGTTAAAATGCTGACAGTTTCTAGCAAAACATATATACTCAGCCTGCAAAAATTCACATGATAAAAATTAAATAGGGGAATGGGATTGAGAATACAGCTAATGTGAGGAAATGTCAAGTTAGTTGCCATGATTTTTCTCTTATTTCCTCTGACTGACTGGAATTTCAGTCCCAGCACTAGTGAAAGAGGATCAGTGCTGTATATTAATTCACTTTCAGACTAAACTGACTTCAAAGCACAAAGCAAGCACTTGGTGACAGCAGAGCCCTTAGTTACCTGCTGTTTCTCTGTCAGCTGAGGTCAGCTCTCCGTTGATCCCATTCTCTTTGGTATTTGAATAGGTGCCCTGTGACCCATGCTCTCCAAAGGCGCCCTCTTCATCCTCCCTGTATGGGAATCCATTGGCACTTCGGACAAGTCCTTCCCCTGCTCCGCCTTGATCCTTAATCTCAGGTGGGTGTGAGTGTGCAGATGCCTCTGTTAGCTGTGCTGAGGTCCAGTGAGGCGCCTTTGCTTCCTCTTTCCGTTCATCTGCCATTCTTCAATGCCTTGTTACTTCTCCTGCAATTGAAAGAGGAAAAATAGTAGCTATCACTTTGGGGAAATCTGATCTGATATTGGTTTTACCAAGATTGGAGAAATTTGTAGCAAATCTAGTGGCTTTCTAAGTCAAAGAAAAGATGTACAATAACCTATGTTTAATATCAAGAATGGATCAATTAGTTCATCTTGAGTTTTACAGACTGTTTCTGGAATATTGGTTCTTTTAAAATAAGATTACTGTCAATTTATACATATTCCTATTTGTAAAAACAAAACAAAAAACAAAACAAAACAAAAAACCCAAAAACCAAACCAAAACAAAACCCAAAAAACAAAACAACAACAACAAAAACCTAGTGTTTGGCATTTAGGTACACATCTTAAAGAGCTTTCATTGAATATGGTCTTGAATGTTGACTGTACGGTAGAGTCAAGGAATCCTGCAGAATAGGAAAAATCTGCAGTATGAGAAAACTGGGTAGAAAAAGTGGGAGAAAGAATGACAGCAGGAATTCTACACTATGCAAAATTGTCCTATGTACTCTCTTAAATCGTGACTTTCAGTAAAATCTGGAAAAGACAATAACTAATATATTAGCCTTTTCGGTTTCAAGGGCGTTCAATTAAAGCCAGAGGTAGGTACACTTTTCTGGATATTGTGAATTAAAAGAAAGATAGCTTTAACTTAATTTTTTTTGACGATTACATTAAACTCTTCTTGTAACTTAATTTTTAAAATAAATTTCCTGTACCCTATCTATAGACTAAGAGGAAATAACATTTTCTATTAATATAAATCTTACAGAGAGAAAGGAAGTAAATATAGCATTGGGCTTACATCCTATCTTATGGCATTATTTCTTAGCCAAATCAAATAAGATCTGAAAAAGCTAAACCATTGACATATAAGAGGAAGTTGTAAATTATAGCAAAGGATGAATGAGTTGTGGAGGAGGTGTTCTATACATGTTAATTGGATGGCAGATATTGTATGACCTTCTCTTACAAGCTGATATTACCAAGTTTAGATATGTAATTGACAAGAGGTGATTCACCACTCAATTTTGGAAAGCAGTTGCCCACGATGTAGCCTCATTGATGGCTTATTGTCTCCACAGTAACGATGACAACACAGGCAATAATGTCTTTGATGGAAACTAAGAACATCTTCCTTTTTTCAAAAAACTATCTCTAAAAAAGACCTCCAAACAAGTAAGCAAAAATTACATTAAGACAAATCCACTTCCTACTACCAAGCTCTGTTTGGAGAAAGTATAAATAAATTAAAGTTTTCCCATCAGATTACTAACAAGCATTTGTCTGGGGATTTTTAACTGAATTTTGTTGCTATCCTCCACTCTCTGTTTCTCTTCATAGCAGAAAGAGCTAAATGAATTAATTCATTTAAACCAATTTGACTACAGCACCAAATCTCCCCCAAAACTGATTCCCAAAACAGCTCATTTATCTTCCCTAAGAACATATTTAAACAGGATATAAAAATTTAGTTTTCAAAACATTGTTTGAAGGGCTTATGATCAATCAGAGACTATCCCTACCTCACTAACTATGTGTAAAGAATTACATGCACAGGAGAGGGCTCAACACAGTTCCCGGCATGCCCAATAAACAGTAGTTATTACATTTGTTACTGTTTATTACTTATATCATTAATCATTATTTATACAACATTGGCCTAGGAATAGGAGCCTGAAAATTTGGTGAGTGCAATAATGAGAGTTACTTGCAAATCTGTCCCCAGATGTTGTGTAGGAATGAATGGCTGTCCCAAGATGGGCATAGCAAATGTACCAGACACGGTAGCCTAACGAGAAGAGAATTAACCTCAGAATTAACCTCTCCCTGTGTACATTGGAAAACTAGCTACATCTTTTCATAAAAACCATTCTGCAGTGTTCTACACTCCATTCTACCATTTTCTTCCAGTCACACATCAAAAGATCTAATTGAGTAGCCTAAGCATTGTGTTTCCATTGAGTTGTGGCATCTTCATATATAAAGAATGGAGGAAACATCTAGATTCCATTGTAACCTTTTGGATCACAACATTTTACTGATAGATTCTTGCCTACCTCAGTATCCTAATCTTTATGTGCTTTTCTTTTGTTTTACCAACAACTTAATTAAGATTTCCGTATATTACCCAATTTATTTTGTGTACACAGAGAACATTGTAAATAGAAAAGGTTTCACATAAATAACATGCCTTGTTGATGTAGCTTTTTCTGAGTTATTAGGCTTTATATTTTTGAAACAATTTTAAACTTACAAAAATATGAAGCAGATACTACAGACAGTCCCCATCTACCCCCTGCATACAGTTTTCCCTATTTTAAACATTTTGCATCAGTATGGTACATTAATATAATTAATGAACCAATATTGATACATTACTTTTAACTACAGTCCATAGTTTATTCAGATTATTTTCATTTTTACCTAATGTCTTTTGTTTTGGTTTCAGCATCTCATCCAGAGTACTATATTACATTTAGTCCTCATGTCTCCTTAGGTTACTTTACGACTTTGACCTCGCAAGTTGTTAGTAGTACAAATCAGACACATCATAGGATACCCCTCTACTGAAATTTGTCTGATTTTTGTCATGATTATTTTAAGGTTATGTGTTTTGGGGAGGAAGACCACAGAGGTAAAGCATTCAGATGAGATACTAAGCTACATGGGTAGGAACACTATGAGCCTTCTGAAAGCTTTTGACATGCTACAGGATGTTTGAATCTCAGGCAAAGGCAGTGATGTGCAAAACATCCCAAGCCAATTGGCCACAGAACTCTTTTTCTAATACCACGTTTATTAACATCCTCAAGAGGATCTGGGAAATATTTAGGTTTGTATTTTAGCCTATGTTTAACTCTAGGAGTTCTAGCCACCAAATATTCAAAGCAAATAAAACAATGTAAGTATCTACAACTCTCAGTTACATTTGGCTCCTCTCATTCCCCTGCCATAGTGCTTTCTGGAATGGACTTCTCAGTGACCAAGAATCCTTATTTTAAACCTAGCAAACTTACACTTAAATAGACAGAGTGCTACTTGGTAATCATACCTTTAAATTATTAAGCAATTAATATTAAACAAATGTTAACGTAATTTGTTTCCAAGAGGACAAACATTTAAAAAATGAATTTCTTAGTATTTAATGCTTTAGAATTTTGAAATTTTTTATTGTACTTTAGGTTCTGGGGTACATGTGCAGATCATGCAGGATTGTTGCTTAGGTACACACATGGCAATGTGGTTTGCTGCCTCCATCCCCCTGTCACCTACATCTGGCATTTCTCCCCAGTGTTATCCCTCCCCGATCTCTCCACCCCCTGCTGTCCCTCCCTTGACCCCCATCCAACATTAAATTAGTTAATAAAAACTAATTTTGGAAGATGAAAAGCCTGGCTAATGGCACTGATTTCACTTAATACCAGAGACATAAACAAATCAAACTTATTACCTAAAAAGTAACACTCAACTTCCTAGTAATATTATTCAGATAATATTCTTTAAAATGTATGCAGATTAATCAGGTATTACTTTTTAATTTATTGAGCTTCTTGAAATGAAGATAGTCTAATCATTTAGTAAGTAATGATCATTTTAGGAGATTTCAAACTAAAATTAGCATGGCTCTGACAAAACTACTTTTACAGAAAATATAACTTGAAAAAATCCAAGACATTTGCCTCTATTTTAGGGAAAAGTTTATTGAACCAAAGGAGACACTATTTGGCCAGAATCATTTATAATCACAATATAATATTATTAAAATACCACCCATAAGATGATAAATTTCACTTATACTACTAATCAAAGTTTTGGGGTCAAAGATTATCTCCAGTCTTCAAAATGGTATTTTCAACATAGTTAAAAGTGATCATAGCCTTCTTTAATTTCTTATTCCTGATGTAATATTATTTTGACCTGAGTCTCTTTGAAAACCATGTGAATGTGCAATTAAAGGCTGGGCAAGGTTGTGCTCACCTGTAATCCCAGCACTTTGGAAGGCTGAGGTTGGAGGATCGCTTGAGGCCAGGAGTTCAAGACCAGCCTGGTCAACATAATGAGACCCCCATCTTACACACAAATTTTAAAAAATTAGCTGGGTGCAGCTACTCAGGAAACTGAGGTGGGAGGATCACTTCAACCAAGGAGAATGAGGCTATAGTGAGCCATGATTGTGCCACTGCACTCACCCTGGGTGACACAGCAAGACTCTGTCTCTAAAGAAAGAAAGATAAAGATAAAAAAGTGAAGACAAAGGGAAGTTCTCTCCAAATCTACAAAAGAAACTTTTTGTGAAATACTAGGAATTTTTAACATTCTTACAGTGCAACAGGAAACACTCTCCTCTCTCCAAATTGCCAAAGATCACAGATCTTAACAGCTCCAGCTGCCAAATAGCTGGACATCTGCCACACAATCCCTGCTTTGATAAAGCAAGCTGAGAAGCTGCCTGAACTCTTATTTCACTTCCCTGCAAAGCTTAGCTTGATAATGTGAGCAAGAAGATCTAAGACTAAGACAATGATTTGCAATTTATAATATATTGCAATGGGAATCTTGTTAGGACAAAACACAAATGTCAATTTATAATGGGAATACTGTTATGTGTGATATGCATTTTTTAAAAATCTAAGACATGGCCAGGTGCAGTGGCTCATGACTATAGCCCCAGCACTTTGGGAAGCGGAGGCCAATGGATCATGAGGTCAGGAGTTCAAGAGTAGCCTGACCAACATGGTGAAGCCCCCTCTCTACTAAAAATACAAATACTTAGCCAAGCATTGTGGTAGGCGCCTGTAATCCCAACTACTCAGGAGGCTGAGGCAGGAGAATTGCTTGAACCCAGCACACAGATGTTGCAGTGAGCCAGGATCGCACCACTGCACTCCAGCCTGGACAACAGGGCAAGACTCCATCTCAAAAAAACAAACAAACAAACAAACAAAAATCCCAAGACATTTAAATATCTGTTGATAATCAGG